TGATTGATAAAATTTAAAAAATGATAGTCAAAATAAAAAGGGACAATAGTTAAGTGGTTACTGATATAGTTTAACCTAAAAATTTTAAAGTATCTGAAGAAAAGGAAAGCACTTTTCTTGGGTATAAACTCTTTTCTACCTTCTTCAATATTCTTACTCCTAAGATGAATTTCTCCAAGATTGTAATATAATATTAAGAATGGCCTTACCTTTTGTTTCCAATCAAATTTTAGCTTTAAACTTGTTTTCCAATCAAACAAAAGAAGAAGAGAAATTCCTACATGGAAAGTTAGTAAGTGGACCAACTATTTAAAAGAAGACAAAAAAAAAAAGGAATGAATTATGGAGCAACATGAAACTGACTATCTATTTCTGTTGACATAACGCATAACGCGTCTAAACCAAACTGTATGCCACTTATTCTGGTTTCCTGGAAACTGGAATCAAAAGGCTAGTTATAGGCCTCGAAAAAAACTTTTGGCTTTGGGTTCAATCCATCATAAGTCTCCGTCAATCTCATCCGGACAACGGTTGTCTTAGTCGTCTTTCCGATAAGATTCCGGATATGATGGTAACCTTGGGGGTATCCAATCCTATAATTATTATAGCCTCTAGTGAAAGCTCTCCCAGCATGCAATGTTGCCTCTTGGAATGATTTCCCAATCACTAAACAGCCATTCACTTCCATTCTTATTGCATGGAGATTTCCAATTATATAATTGTTTTACCGAGTTGAAATCGAAAAATACCATGTTTATCATTTGCTTGGAGTAATCGAATTATGTTCATATATTTAAAGTTTTATTAGACTTAAATATATATTTGGTAACTTAAATAATTTTTAAAATAAACTTTATAATATCATAACTGATACATAATATAATCTTATTCGATACACTACAGCAAAACAGAGTTTTAACGGAGTTTTTTTAGTCCTATAGCATCGTTTTTAAGCGCCACTAAAAGTATTTGTGCCGATAGAAAAAATGCCGCAAGAAGCGCCGACAATACCAGTGCCGCTAAAGTTAGTGGCGTTTGAGAACAAAAAACGCTGCAATAGGTCGAGATCTATAGCGGCGTTTTTTGAACAAACATCGAAAAATGTCAACATCTATAGCGACGTTTTTGGAACAAACGCCGCAAAAGGTGAGATCTATAGCGACATTTTTTATTTAAATGATGATTTTGCCTATTTCATTTATTCTCTACATCACCAAAATTTAATATCATCTAGCTTTATCTAATTAATAACCATACATTTTAATAAAAACACAAGTTATGCAGAAAAATACTTAACAACAAAATAAATTAAAATTTATAAACATTAAAATTAAATGTAATGTAGTTTGACATTGTTTTCTAGAATTTAGTCTACGTTCTTTCACTTTTAATTAAAAAAAATATTGTTCACTAGAATGTAGTCTTCATTGCTCTTTCGTGGGGAAAGGAAGTAAAAACTCCCTTAGCTCCGGTTCACCAAGAAGACTTCTTGCGCGGACTTCTGCTTCAACCAAATGCAAACAAGAAGTCTGGAAGATACAAAAAATATAAGAAATACTAATAAGAATCAACAGGAAACTTAATATAGAGAAAAAAGGAAACATTTGGCATAGAATCAACCAGCAAAAACACTTGACTTAGTTATTAACACAATAATATAATGCGTAATTATAATAATGCATAACAACATAAGAAACTAGATCTTACATGAACTGTATGTCAATATCCAAATAATGCACTGAAAAAGGTGCAAAACATATAATAGCAGTGCATATTGAGTTAAAAAATTTGCAAAATGAAAAAAAAAACAAGTAAATGTCGTACAAATTCGAAGTTTCTGAGATCAGAGAAGTTCACAGCTACAACATCCATTGCTGCTTCATTTATAGCCACTTGTGTCCATGTTTCTAGACTTCTGTCCTTATTATCTAGCATACCTCTTTCTTCTATGTGTGCCACTTGGAGGAAATCATCAGTTGTAATCTGCAGCAATACAATAGCAGAAAGTCATATCTTCGCTCAAAGGCATTAGGTTAAGGGCATTTATACCTTCTAAACAACACTATCTAACGCGATCCTAAAATTTCACATTCAAGAAGTAATAATATCTCAATTTCATTCATCTTATATATACTAACTAAAACCCTCTTAATTTTATAAAATATGTTTTTCTCCTGTTTCTCTATTCCGATTAACTATTTTATAAAATATCATTGGGGAGATGAATTATACTGCTGCCTTCGCAGCGTATCAAGTCCCATCAACTTAGCAACCACACTGGGTGGGTTACGCTTAGACTCCACATCTTTTGACATTTCCTGGGCCAATAACATCTTCATGGGTGTTACATTACCTTTCTTGTTTGACAAAGTTCTCCTTAACCCAAATACCATCTGGGCACACAAAAAGAAATAAAAACAAGTGAGAATGCACTGTTATTTTTATAATTCAACTGGAAGATATAGAGACAAACATAATCTCTATCAGTTTGCTTATAATAATTACTATTACAGAGACTAAACGCCCAATATTTACCACTTTATCCTCTATCATATCTCCAAAGGCGGGGCTTAACATCCTTACAACATCAGATTGACTCTTAGAGTGTGAGGACCCTGTCCATCAACCAGCACTATGTTAAAATAGCAAGATAAATATAAACAACCAATAACACCACTAACTGACGTCTAATTCATGCATAAACATGTCCCACAAAAAACATGGAGTCAAAACCACTAGAACAAAACCAGTCAAAAAGGCGATCTGGTTTCTGTTTCATATCGAGATTCATACATCTATTGTACAAACAATCTATAAAAGAAAAATAATTAATGTTGCAAATGGAACTAATGTAATTGAGACATCTATTGTACATTACGAATTTTTCAGATTTACAAAAAGCAATATATAACCAAAACTGTATACAAACGCCACTAAAGTATGAGTCTATAGCGGCGTTTTAAAACATAAACACCACTAAAGTAGAGCCTATAGCGGCGTTTGTATAAAAACGCCAATAAAGTATGAGTTTATAACAACGTTTGTTGAAAAACTCCAATAAACTACTCTATTGCGGCGTTTGTTGAAAAACACCACTATAGATGGACCCTATTGCGACATTTATTGAAAAACGCCACTATAGATGAACCCTATTACGGCGTTGATATAAAAACGCCGCTAAAGTACTACTCTATCACGGCGTTTATTGAAAAAACGCCACTATTGATGAACCTATCACGACGTTTGTATAAAAACGCCGCTAAAGTTATCATTTTATGGCGTTTGGAGTTAAAACGCCGCTATATGTTTAAAGTTAGCGGCGTTTACTCTCAAAACGCCGTTGTAGAACAGTTTTGCTATAGTGATAGTTGGATGAAATGAAAGTTAAGGTACCAACATAGGAGCAAAAATTCAGATATCAACTTGAGAGTAAAAATTCTTTAAGTAGTAATTTTGAGTGAAAATGATTAGTTCATACACTAAATATATATTTAAAACTTTTTTATTATTTTAAAGGTATATTTTTTTGACTTCATCATTAGAATTCGAAATCAAGACAAAAAAAATTATTATCTGCTAAACAGATTTTCAATTCCATAGAATAAGCAAAAAGGCGGCAGGATGGTTGAATTATGGCACTAGTCGGCCTCCACATGGAAACCTGATAATGCAGGTATTACCAACGGTGACAGTGTAGTGATGATTAGGCCTGGAAAGGAAAGGAGGCAAGTGAGCCAGCACGTCACACACACACTCGTTATCCACCTGCCTCAGCCATTGACAACAGTAGTCTTGCCTGTCCTCCCCTCGTTGCCGGTGCCTACGCCTGTGCCTGCGACTGCTGCTACGACGACTGTGGCTGCTGCTACTACTACTGTGAGTGTTCCGGCGAGATGGCGGAGGCGAGAACGGGGATAACGGGAGCCCTCCGCACGCGTAGTTCACTATGTTAAATTGAGAAGCACAAAGTGGACGAGGTGGTGCACTTACCCGTGGCAGGGTATTAGGCATGGCCAGGGTAAACAATGAGAAGAGGAATAATATTGCCACGATCGCCACCTTTGTCATTTTCTATATCTCAGCCTTTCTTATTCTTATTTTGGCGTATTTAGAAAACGTGAAGTGGAAATTTGATGGGATTTTAGTACGTCTGCATAGTTTGTATACAGTTCCATTTATATTGGGTTCATTCCTGAACTTGTTGCTTTCTTTCTTACATTATTAAGATTTGTTCAGAGGCAAAAAGAATATGGAAATAAGCATGGCAAAGAGAATGAGGATACAGTTTCTTGATCATGTTACGGATAAAGTTTAGGTTTCCCAATGGGTTTGTGCGTTTACTTTGTTATATGTCCATTATACTAATATTATAATTTTTCAAGACTGTTTAATAATTTCTCCAAGAAAATGGAGAATTTATTAAATTATAATAAAATAATCATGAAATTATTATAAAATATTAATCAATAATTTTGTTTCGCTTCTAAAAGAATGAAGTGGTGCTTTTAATAGCATATAAAAATTAAATTTATTATTTTATTTTAGTACATTAAAAAATTTATAGTATATAAAAATTAAATTTATAATAATATATTAAATTATTCTGGAAAGAGTTGAGAATAATGTCAATAGCATCAAATATTTTAAATTTAAAATGAAATAAATATTTGAAAAGATGGGTAGAAAATGAATTTAGATTAATCATATACAGAAATATGAAAGGATTTAGATAAAATTTAAGGAAGCAAAAAAATATATAAGTTAAACTCAAATTCGATTCGATTCGATTCGATACGCAAAGTACAAGTAAAATTTCCAAGGGCGTTTTTGGGTATAATATCAAAGCCTTTGGTTTGGGGTTTTTTAAGCAGGAAGGTTAAAATGAAACCCAGATAAATTATTTGTAATTGGAGTAAAGCAGAGGCTACATAAATGGATTTGTTCAATGAATTTTAAAGCTTAAGTGACAAATAATTAGTTCATGAATTCTGTATTCCGTAACTTACTTTTACAATTCATGTTTATCAGCAAACTATACAAATTCTTCTACCTCCTGAAGAAAAGAAAAACAAAAAGAAAATCCCCTCCTAACTCCCAAGTATATTTTTTCCCCAAACTATACAACACCCACATCTCTAAAGCATCTAGTCATGCCAGCAAAGGAGTAACACAGCACATCTCCATATAATATAAAGCCTTCCCCTTTGCTCTCTAATTTGCTTTGAACACCTTCTCCATGATCGATTCTTCATCTCACAATCCAGCCACCTGAATCAAAAGCTTCTTCTTTTGGTAATATCTGCAAGTAATGCGAGTTTTCTGTCTTGAGTTTGAGTGGCTATGGAGGATCTTGAAGCCCTTTTTATAACAACGAAATCAGCTCAAGATATGAACATGTGGTGGGTGACAAACGATTGGCCTCCAAGCTGGGGTCATAGGCCATCATGTCCCACGCTAAGAAGATAAGGCCGAGTTATTTCAAAAGCTTGTCTGCTACCCCAAAACTATCTTGAAAGTGAATTGTCATTTATGCCTCACATGCATCATCCATCCTATTCATGCTTTTACCTTACCCTTCGCCTTTGTTCATCCACTGTTACCCATCATAGCACAGTGTGCGGCCTAGAAATCGATCACTCAGCCAACTGTAAGCCTGCTATTCTCGAGTGTCACGTGTGCCATGTCGCCGGTAAGGCCTAGTCAATCCAACATGCGGGCCAATTATGATTGCCGGATGTAATGATAAACCAGTTTAAAGCCTCGTGTTTCTTAAATGTGTTGTCCTACTTATCCTGGTGGCCATGGCCATACATGAAGTCATTGACTGCTCTTTTAGTGAACAATCTTCAGTCTCAGCAACAACTTCACATCGCCTTCGATGTGAGCCGTAGAGTGAACATGTCGGGTAAGATGTAGGCCATAGTTCAAGAAGGTATTGGCGATGATCATGCCACGTTTGTTCTTGGGAAGGGAGATAAGCATGTCGACTTCGATGATAACCATGCGGGACCAGCTGCCCACGTGAAGGAACTGTCCCATTGTAGCTGTTGGCGGTAACAGATTTGCATGGAACAGGAATTTTGCATTAAACTTATCTCAAGGCAAAAGGAGAAAAATCAGGAGAACCTGACAAATGTGGTTTAGTGTTTACTGAATTTGATTGAGATGCAAGCTGTACCCCAGGTGGTGGTGGTGATAAGGAAATGCACACATCAGAAAGAAAAAGTAGAGGAGGTAATTAATTTTCTTTGTTGGAAGAATGAGAATGTTGCTGCAAACTTGATACAATTCAATGGAATAAATCCAAGTTGTCGGGGGTGGTTCTGTAACATTGTTTATTGTTAAGATGGAGATTCACAAGTACCATATCTTGGCTGCCAAATTCACGGAGCTGAACACATCATGGTGGTGGCAGTGGTGGTGACGATGGAGGCACGTCGTGAGGTGGGTGTGGGGGGTGGGGCAAATTGTAATGGAAAATGCTAATCACAATGCTCCAGCAAGTTTGTACAATTTTAGTTCCATTAGATCCACTACCTGAACTAGAAAAAAAATGTTTTTATGAGCGAGCACATTTGCCCAATTGACTTTTTATATTTTTTAAGCCATGGGTTTTAAATCTACTAAGTACTAGGAGTACTCCCATCTCCTTAGGTATGATTAGGACTAGATTTATAATTTGTTAAAAAATGTTTTTTTAATAATTTGAGTGATTGTAAGTTCAGACTCTTTCTTAATTATTAGCATCGCACACTCATCCTACAAACATAACTGCTCGAACCCAAGACCTTAAAAGAAGAATAACACTTCTTTTAACATCCATAGTCACTAACTCAAAATAATATTTTAATGATAGGAAATTAAATAAAAAAACAAACTATGGTTTTATATACTTAATTGTAGAACATAAAACTATAAGTATTGGGTGTAGAAATTTTAAATATAAATCTAAAACAAATATAAAAAATACTAAAAATATATAAAAGAAATCATATATAGATGGTTGAAATTATTTTTTTATGAGTAACATTTAAATAGAGTTAATTATATCATGCATCCTTAAGTTATGATTCTCATTTTAAATTGGTCTTTAAACTCTTAAACGTTTTAATTTTATCCTCAAACTATAACTCTCCTTCTAAATTAATCCTCAAACTTTTAAACATTCAAATTCATCCCCAGACTATGACTCTCATTTCAAATTAGTCCCTAAACTTTTTAACATTTCAATTTTATTATAAATTGTCTGTATATGCTAATCACATCTCATGTTAATAAAATCTTTAGACCAAACTATATTATTATATGTTTGACAAAATATCGAATTTAGGTTAAACTATGGTTGAAACTAATTACATATTTGGAAGATTTAAAAGTTTGGGGACCAATTTAAATGAGGATCATAGTTTAGGGATGTGATTAAAATATTCAAAAGTTTGAGGACTGATCTACAATGGGAAGCATAATTTAGGGATGAAATTAGAATATTCAGAGGTTTGAGGACCAATTTAAAATTAGAATCTTGATTCAAAGTTGTATGATGCAATTGACTCAATTAAGTGATGTAAAGTTATATATTTGAAAAAAATAAAAATATAATCCAAATGTCAAAAAGAGTGCGTGAAGAAATAAAAAAACGTGAAAGCGTCAAAAGGGAAATCCTGTCAACAAGAGAAAAAAATTCAAATATTTGACGACACTAAAACTAGGTAAAGTTCCGTACTTTTTGCCGCCATTTCATTGGCACTCCTACAAAGCTCTTTGATTTCGAGAAAAAAAGAATACTAATTTTCACCTGAGTTTCCTAAGACAATCGAATCTGATTTTGATTCGTAGTTGGTTTCCTCAATTCAGTTTTGTTTTTGTTGTCGAAAGTTCAATTCTCAAAAAAAAAAGCCTCGCCATTGTCAGGTTGGTTTTTGTTTCTTCCTCTGGTTTCTCATCATTACCCAAAATCTAACAATGGTATAAACTAAGATTTCAATGGCTTTTAGTTCAAGGTAAATTGCACCAGCCGGGAAGGAAAAATGGCGAACCTTCGAGATATATCCGTTTCAGCTGCGTTGAATCTTCTTTCTGCATTTGCATTCTTAGTGGCTTTTGCAATATTGAGGCTTCAACCAATTAACGACGGGTTTACTTTCCGAAATGGTATCGAAAGGGGGCAAGAAGCAGCCCTAGTCGATGTGGACCATCTGTAAACAAATTTGTCAACTTAGATTGGAAGGCATATATTAGATTCTTGAATTGGATGCCTGCAGCTTTGGGAATGCCTAAACCCGAGCTAATTGATCATGCTGGGCTCGATTCTGTTGTATATATTCGAATTTACCTTCTTGGGTAAGTTTTCTTTATATGCCCTTTTGGCTGCTATTTCTGTTATTTTTCCAAATAAAGGAACAAAATGTGTGGTTAGACATAGTAACTAATAATATACTAATCTTTTATTAGAATTTGGAAGTGAAGTATACTATTTAGAGTTCCATATTGTTGTTTGCTGTGGATGAAGCAGTCTAATATGATTATGATGCCTTTTATGTGCAGCTTGAAAATAATTGTCCCCTTGGCTGTTCTTGCTTTCTTAGTTTTGGTTCCTGTCAATTGGACGGGGGAAACATTAGAGGGTATCAAGAATCTGACATTCAGCGACATCGACAAGCTGTCGATATCAAATGTTCCAGATGGGTCAAAAAGGTCAGGAATAACCTTTTTTTAAACTCTTTTTCTTATCGAATGCGATGCTCTGAATCTCTGATTGTTATCCCAAATTCATCAGTTACGACATGGGAAAAGATTGGAGTCTCGTGTAGTACCGTACAATTTAGGGTTGAATGGTTCAAACCAGGGATTTAAATTAGGTTGCACCAGTATTTTTGGTTGCGGATGCGTTTATCGCGATTGTGGACAAAATGAATGCTATTGCAATCATTGAGGGTATCGTGGTTGTGCAATAACGGTTTTGGATGGCTCCATTGACTCTACATAATGGCCGCTATTCCGATAGGAGTCCACTATTTAAATCCCTGGTTCAAAGAGTGACGTCAGTCAGTCTATTATTGGCACAAAGCAAATGAAAAGCTTATGCTTAGTACTTTCATTTCTAAGGGATTGTGTACGAGTGGAATTTTAGAGATAAAAAGCCAGTTTATGCCCTCATTGAAGTAATATAGTACGTTGTATCTTTTCCTTTTCAGCTTTTACATTCACTTGAGTATTGTTATACCTTAAATTTTTCATTTTGCCCAAAATATATGTTTAATTTCTTTGTTATGAGAAGGTTCCGGCTTATCATTTTCAGGTTCTGGGCTCATATTGTTATGTCATATGTATTTGCACTTTGGGCCTTTTATGTGCTATATGTTGAATACAAAATAGTAGCTTCTATGAGGTTAAAATATCTGGCATCAGAAATATGCCGTCCTGATCAATTCACAGTAAGTTTTTGCTTTGTTCGCTGGCTAATGCCTATGCTGTTGTGTTGTTATTTAGAACTGCTGATTATCTTAGACAGGTTGGTTTGTTATTGCACTAGAATTTCTAATAAAAAACATCAAAACACATGCATATTCTGGTACCGACACCATATCTAGCTTGAAGACTTGAAGTACTTGGATTGTATGTCTTGCAACAGCTTCAAAAGGCTACCTTTAAAATTTTCAATTATCATCAAATAGTATTTCATATTTTATTCTCATTAAAGATGCAGGTTAAGATGTTTGCATTTTGATGAAGAATTTCAGAGATACTCAGTTTCTGACATGACAGATTAGGCATTCATGTGTAGTATTGAAATCAGATACAGACCTAAAGTTATGCTTCTTAACGTATCATACAATGAAATAGTGAAGTGTTTTCTTAGTATTAATCTAGTATTTTAGCACATTTTGAAGTTATACGTCTAGTATAAATATGAGCTGTCTTATACCTTCCTATCTATCAGGCTTTATGAAGTATATTTGTCGAAGGCATTGTATTATCATTGAATTTGGCACTCATCTTCAAGGATGCCCCCCCTTTTCTCGTCCCGCAGTTTGGTCTTTCAGGCTCATTTTTCTGTTATAACTGCTTAGGTAGTATCATTGCTCCTTTATTCACCTGAATGTTTTTAGGTACAATGAGCCTTGGGCTACATGATGGGAGGTAGCCCTCTCCCATTCCATAAACAAGGTCCTTCATCTTAGGACTAAAGATTCGACCTTGAATAAAAAGGACACGCTGTTGGTGTAAGATAGATGGCAGTTGTGACAATTATTTGCAGCTGCCTATCATGTTTGAAACAATCGGTATAGATGTGCATGCATGCTAGAGCATTTCTATCACACCCCAGCTTTAGCACTTGTATTTCATTTTCCTCTCTTTTGTTTACTTTATTATGTTTCTCAGTTTCTAGTGAGAAATATTCCGCCTGATCCTGATTAATCAGTTAGTGAGCATGTTGAACATTTTTTTTTTCGTGTAAATCACCCTGATTTTTATTTTACTCATCAGGTTTGTTTCTTTGATAAGTTGATTCACCTATGATAATTTGTCTGGTAAATAAGTTCTACGAAGCACCAGTACAGGGGAGGAGGATAATAGGCCGTTTCACATGGAAAATAATAAAACCTTGCAATTTTTTGTATTGATGGTGTCTAGAAGTACTATATTCTGTTTGCCACTGATGAGTTTCTATAACATACTGCTTTACTCTGTAACTTTGATAGGTTGTATATAACGCAAATAAGCTTGCAGAGTTGGTTGAAAAGAAGAAAAGTTTAAAAATTGGTTTACTTACTACCTTAATAAGTATGAGAGGACTTCAAAGAGCTCGACCACAAGGGTAATATATTTGCATGACAAACTTACTATTGACATTTATTTAGCTCCATTTCATTTCTTGGTGGAATAATAGTTAGCTGATGTTGACATAAAATGCAAATACTATTCCATATTGATTTTCAGCTGCCCAGTTCATTATCTAATATTTTGTAATTATAGACAGGTTTCTGTGGTCTATTTGGAAATAAAGTTGATGCAATCGATTATTACTCCTCTGAGATTCAGAAGCTGAGCGAAGCAGTAAGTTTCAGTATACTGTAGTGACTGTATTAGGGACTTTTTTTCAATTTCACGTATGTTTCTTGCAACACTATGTACCTTTTATTCTTATTTTTACAATTATCATTACATCTTCTGCTATAAACATTCTTGGCATAAGGGGAAGTAGTTCAAACAATTTGTTAGCATTGCATATCTCGATGCTGAACCTCTATTATATGGTTAAAGGTTCCAATAGGAGTCTATATCTTTTGTAAATTGTTGTACTGTTTATCTTGGTTAAGAATCACTCCTTCCTTACGTCCGCATTCCACACACACACATACATTGACTTGTTAGAGTGAGAGAACTTGTTATGTCAATTTCTTATTCGATTAAGGAAAGAATTCACAGGAGCAAGAAAATAATACAATAAGACGATATATAGTTTACCTATCAGGAAATGTCATATACTCTCCCTCCTTTTCTTCCCTTCTCTTTATAAGGGATACCAGAAAACATGAAACTGTTTTGTCAAAGAAAACAATAGAGTTTGTTGTTTTTTCCCTTCTTTTAATGTGTAATTTAGTAACAAGGAAACTGTAATGTTGTCATTTTTATGTAGGAAGCTTCAGAAAGAGAAAAAGTCCTGAGTGATCCAAAAGCTATAGTTCCAGCAGCTTTTGTTTCGTTCAAATCCCGATGGTCAGCAGCTATATGTGCTCAAACTCAGCAATATCATGACCCAACAATTTGGTTGACAGAATGGGCTCCTGAGCCACGTGATGTTTATTGGAGTAATCTTGCTATACCATATTTTGATCTTACTATTCGGACGTTGCTCATGGCTATGGCACTATTTTTTCTTATTTTCTTCTTCATGATCCCTATAGCTTTTGTTCAATCTCTAGCCAATATTGATGGGATTGAGAAGGTTTTTCCTTTCTTGAGGCGATTAATAGAAAAGTAAGTTGTTTGTCAGTGTTGTTTCGTTAAAGTAGCATTTCTTTGTCTGCCCTCAATATTTTCCTCTATATGATCAGTCTTTCATGCGTTTGACCTTCTAAATCTATCCTAAATTATATCTCCATCTTGTTTAACCTTTCAACCATTGTCAATGTTCTGAGACTTGAAGGAGAGATTTCAATTGTTGGAAAACACTTTTTCAGGGAGACTGTCAAGTCCTTCATCCAAGGGTTTCTTCCTGGGATTGTACTGAAGATATTTCTTATTCCACTTCCAACAATTCTTATGACAATGTCCAAGATAGAAGGATTTCCATCACGCTCATCTTTGGATAGACGATCAGCTGGGAAATATCACCTATTCCTTCTCGTCAATGTATTTCTTGGGAGTATTATCACTGGCGCTGCATTTGACCAGCTTAAAATTTTCCTTCACCAGCCTCCAACAGAGTATGTACCTAACTCTTTCCAGAAAAATTTGATGTATTAACACGCTTTATGCTATAATATACGTGACAATATCTTCTGACAGACATGTAGCTATTTGCACTGAACTACAATATGCCAATTCATTAGGTATTATTATAAACCCTTTCTATGTTTTGGTGACCAGAACTGACACAGTACCTTCATAGTTTTTAATCCATGTTAGACCTCTGATTTTGTTTCATTCTTTTTACCATTTAGTTCCTGCCATTCTATTTTCAGTTGCAGTGCATTCTTATCTCTGTAATAATCCTATTCATGTGCAGCCCCTAAGATCTGAACTCTCCTCATGCTATTTATATTATGCTGTTTTATTTGAACATACCAGACAATATGCAGGTCTGATTGACTGGAGATATTGTGTTATGCAGGATTCCGAAAGCCGTTGGTGAATCTATCCCAATGAAAGCCACTTTTTTCATTACTTATATAATGGTTGATGGATGGGCGGGGGTTGCAGCAGAAATCCTCAGATTAGTACCTTTAATCATTTTCCACCTGAAAAATATGTTTTTAGTGAAAACAGAACAAGATAGGGCAGGAAGCAATGGATCCTGGTTGTTTGAACTTCGCAACATATGAACCAAGGATACAATTGTATTTCTTGCTCGGACTTGTTTACTCTGCTGTCACACTTGTACTTCTTCCTTTCATCATCATCTTCTTTGCTTTTGCCTATGTGGTATTTCGTCACCAGATATTTGCTGCTTTAAGCTGTATGGAGCTTTGTAGCTTCCCTATCTTGTTATAATCCTCACCCGTTCTTGGTTTGTTTCATGCTGCAAGGTTATCAACGTATATGATCAAAAATATGAGAGTGGAGGCTCATTCTGGCCAGATGTGCATCAACGTCTGATCATTGGATTATTAATATCTCAACTTCTTCTAATGGGATTGTTGAGCGCAAGGAACGTTGAGAAATCAACAATTGCACTCATTCCTCTTCCTATTATGACCATCTGGTTTCACCTGTACTGCAAGGGTCGTTTCAAATCTGCATTCATTAGGTTCCCGTTGCAGGTAAGGAACACTTTCAAAGGAAAAGAGTTTGCAAAAGTTAAATTTGATGGAACATTAATATAAAGAGTATATTTACAAGATCTTGTAAATATGTTAAATGCCCTTGATACTTTTGCTATTCTTTTCTAAACTGATGATAGTCTATTTAGTAGGAAAAATTATCGTGTTTCTTCATCTTTATCTGGATGACACTTGTTTTTTCTATTAAAACACAGGATGCAATGATCAAGGATACACTGGAACGGGCAACGGAGCCGACCTTAAACTTGAAAGACTACCTTAAGGATGCTTATATACATCCAGTTTTCGAGGGCAGAGACTACTTCGAGAGCCCACAGTTGGTTTCGGATGAAGAGAGCAACACGCTTGTGATGACAACGAGGATGGGTAAACAGTACGCGGAATCCAGTACTACAAACAGTAGTTAGAGATAGAAGGAAGCAGCATCATTGTTCAGTTTTAGCATTTGGTCATCATGTTGTTCTTGTAGATATACGAGATTTTTGTATCGAGTTGTGAAATGTAGTAACAAAGATGATTGAAACAAATTGCTCATACAATGTTCACAAAGTTGGTTCAGAATGAATTTATGATAATCAGATAGGTGGTGCTCATGACAATCGACAACAGATTATCGACGATTTTTTCACAATCAACGGCTCTAGATATATTATAACAATCTCATATTTTTCTAAATAATTTTTTCGAATCCTTATCTAGCCATTAATAATTGGAATTTTTGTGTCCAAAAAATTAATTTAAACATTTTATAAATATGGAAATCATTTAGGTTATTATGAGCCGTTGGTACATTTCTTTGTAATCAATCATTACTCCAAAGAAGAAAAATATTCCCTTCTCCCACAACAAGTCAAAACAAAAAAGGCAATCTTTTGTTTTGTTGGCACGAAGTCGCACCGTTAAAGTCACAAATCACATCGCCGGTTTCATAGATGATAAATAAAAAAAGAAAAGAAAAGAGGGGTAGATCAGAAATGAATGCGGTTGTGCGGTCGTTACGAAAGCTATAATTTGCGAGCAACGACAAATCTGCACTGATTACACTTACTACACCCATTTCTCGTTCTCCCTTCTCATTCTGGGCTTCTCAGCTTTTAGAACCAAATGCTGTAAGTTTTACTTTCATTTTACTCTTTGTCTGTTTCTTTTTCTTCTGCTACGTTTTTTTTTAATTTCTTGATTATCAGGGATCATATCTGGCCCTATATGCTTCTTTTAACAACTGGGCATTAGCTAGATTTTCATTATGAATAGTTTATGTTTTAAGTTTCCAAATTTCCTTAGGCTGCCGGTTTCTTTTAGTTTCGATTTTCATGTATGAAAACCTTTCATTTATTTTATGCATTGTCCACTGGAAATGCTTGACGTTCTACAATTGCATTCGTTAGCATGGATTTGATTGCTTTTGATACAAGGAAACTGCGTGGTAACTGTTTCTGTTATGAATTTGTTTTGGATTCGTTGTTAGCAATTGATTTGTTAATAATTGTAATAGGTTTGTATTTAAACAATTATGCAACAAACGAGAAATATCAGAATTCAGAAGTGCTTTCTCAATGTTGCTTCATTCTCTTAATTCTCAGTCCATTTACTCTTTGCTTTATCGATCACGGTGAGTGTTCATCATCTCTGCTCTATCAGCTTTCTGGATCTGAATCCTTTTAAGGTCTTGGTGTCTAAAACCAGTCAAAATAGTTATTTTGTTTTAGTTTACTGATTGAAAGAGCTAACCCTTTCTTTATTTCGAGCAGAAAGTCATCTGTAATTCAGTAAGGAAAATTGTCCTCCTTGTAAAGATTTTGTTAGCTATCTGGTTCAGAATCATTTTCTACTGCAAGCATACATGGCTACTTTTTTTTCGTTCTTTAAAATAGGGCCTCATGGCCTGAACCTTGGAGGCACTGAGTTGTCTAAATTCTCGGTTGTCACCGGTTATCTTTGTAAAAACAAAATGGGACAGAGCCTTCAGAGAATAGATGAAGGAAGAAAGTTTTTACCCGAAGAAATTGGACAAAATGCCACACTTCCTCCTCGGAGCCTTGGTTTGAGATGCTTTGCTGCGTCACGAGTTTCTGTTGAGCAAACTGAACAGTCATTCACTAAAACTAGCCAAGTTGATGAACTGAAAAATCTGTCGACTTTTCTTTTTAGTACTGAAATTGGCGGTCAGGTCAAAGTTTTTGTTGGAAAGAAAAGTGTCAAGTATGTAGTAGATATTGAAGTTTCATCGCTGCAGTTGTCTAGTGATGACAGTCGGCTTGTGCTAAGTGGGGGCTTATACAGATCTGATCGTGATATAAAAAACATGATCATTGAAACCCCATTTAAAGTGAGGTCATCCAGTGAGTTAGCACTTGAGTTGGAATTTGAAGCTAAAGAAGTCCCATGCTACTTCTCGTTCCTGCTGAAAGCCTCATCAAATGCAAATTCGAGTGGCTCGGAAATCAGGAGCCAGACGAAGTCTAGTTTTTGTGTACCAATTGGTTTTGATCAAGGGTGTCCAGCTCCATTGGGTCTTTCCTTTTCAACTGGTGGTTCAATGAACTTTGCAGTCTATTCAAGAAACGCTGAAAGTTTGGTCCTGTGCTTGTATGATGATAATGCATCAGAAAAGCATGCTTTAGAACTTGATCTTGATCCTATTGTTAATAAAACTGGTGACATTTGGCATGCTTCGATAGAAGGTGCATGGACCTTTGTGAGCTATGGTTACCGGTGCAAGGGAAATAGAGACACATTCCATGCAGAGCGTGTTCTTTTGGATCCTTATGCTAAGATAATCGGGAGTTCCATTCCTAATCATCATGAGTCCGGTTTGCTCCTGAAACATCTTGGGCGACTAATGAAGGAGCCTGCTTTTGACTGGACTGGTGATGTTTTTCCAAACATAGCTTTGGAAAAATTAGTGGTATATCGTTTGAATGTTATGCGATATACTGAAGACAAGTCTAGTAAGCTACCTGCTGATGTTGGAGGGACTTTCTCAGGTGTAACTGAGAAGGTACAGCACTTCAAAGATCTTGGCATCAATGCTGTCTTATTAGAGCCAATTTGTACATTTGATGAGCAAAAGGGACCATATTTCCCATGTCATTTCTTTTCTCCAACAAACCTGTATGCACCTTCTAATGGTTCTGTATCTGCTATCAATTCAATGAAGGGGATGATTAAGAACTTGCATGCCAATGGTATCGAGGTCTTCCTGGAAGTGGTTTTTACCCATACTGCCGAGGGTGGAGCCCTGCAAGGACTTGACAATTCATCCTATTATCACAAGACTGGTATTGAAGATTCAGAAGCTAGAAATGCTTTGAATTGTAACCACCCCGTTGTTCAACAGTTGATTTTAGATAGTCTCCGGCATTGGCTGACTGAATTCCACATCGATGGTTTCTGTTTCATTAATGCTTCATGTCTGTTGAGAGGATTTCACGGTGAACACTTGTCTCGCCCTCCCTTGGTTGAAGCAATAGCTTTTGATCCGGTGCTGTCCATGGCTAAAATCATTGCAGATTTCTGGGATCCATATGACATGATGCCGAAGGAAATGCGTTTTCCTCATTGGAAGAAATGGGCAGAAATGAATACAAAGTTTTGTACCGACATACGAAACTTTTTTAGGGGTAAGGGTGCTCTGAGTAGTCTTGCTACACGGCTTTGTGGGAGTGGGGACATATTCTCTGATGGCCGAGGCCCAGCATTTTCGTTCAATTTTATCGCCAAGAATTTCGGACTTCCTCTTGTGGACTTGGTCAGCTTTAGTAATGCCGAGTTAGCATCAGAAATAAGTTGGAACTGTGGGGAAGAGGGACCTACAAGTAAAACTGCCGTGCTTGAAAGAAGACTCAAACAAATTCGTAATTTTATCTTCATTTTGTACATTTCGCAGGGCGTTCCTGTTCTTAACATGGGAGATGAATGTGGCCAATCTTCCGGTGGCTCCCCATCGTATGGTAGCAGAAAACATTTAGATTGGAATGCTATGACAACAGGTTTTGGTATTCAGACAACAAAGTTCATCTCGTTTTTGAGCTCACTAAGAATAAGGCGAAGTGACCTTCTTCAAAAACGGAACTTTCTCAAAGAAGAAAACATTGAATGGCACGGAAGCAATCAATCACCACCAGGATGGGAAGACCCCACATGCAAATTCCTGGCAATGACATTGAAGGCTGACAAAGTAGAGGGCCAGCTGAATCCCGAGGTTTCTGAACTAAAGGGTGACCTGTTTATTGCCATTAATGGAGCTGATAAAACAGAGACCATAATCCTACCCCCGCCTCCCGAAGGGATGGCATGGCGTCGAATAGTTGATACGGCATTACCATACCCAGGCTTTTTCTCAGTTGATGGTAAACCTGTTCGTGAGCAAATGGTGGGGTTAGTTGCTTATGAAATGAAGTCCCGCAGCTGCACTTTGTTTGAAGTTTGTAATGACAACAGTTAATGTAATCCAATTTCCCCTCCATTTTCTGCACTGAAAAACTTTATAGACCAGTAAATGCACAACCTTCTTTTTCTGTATCATTACATTTGTAGAATAATTTTGTAATGGCAACAGATTGAAGTATGCAAAAACATGGATGGCTTTCAAGGTAAGCAATGCTGAGCATCCACTTCTTTTCAATAAATTATAAACTGTTCCTATATAAACTTCAGCTGCATAAACGGGTGAACTGCTTTTGGATTTTCAATTGCTCATACGCATGAAGAACAATCTTCAAAATCATATTTACAGAAATGTTAGAAGATTGGTTTCTTTCAATTCCCCCACTAGAATTCATGCTATAACCATTGGTCCGATTTCAATTTTGAACATAAATGTAAAATTGTTCCATTTTTTTAAATTTCATGCTCCTAGACTTGGTAGCAGTAATAGTTGATTCAACATGAAAATATTTCTACTTACATACAAATTGGACAATGCCAATCAAACATTCTTTCGGTTTTCTCTTGGAAACACAAAAACCAAAACATATGACCCACTCTAAAGTTGTATGATATGACCTAATTGCAGCTGTGAAAAGAAAATAGAACAGTCAACTGCCACGGTTGCAATCTTTGCTCAAGTCCAGACACCAACACTTGTAATCAGATATAGAGATCTCATATAGTTCATCTGGGGTCTTCTTTTCCAGTTCCGTTGATTGAAACGAATCAAAGCCGCAGTTAGCTTTTCCATCACCAAGTCTGACCACCTGCTGATGGTCTTGGCCACGCATTCGCTTGTACAGTCTCATCACAGATATAGAATCTTCGAACGGGTCATGAATTCCTGACTGGATATCATACCTGTAAAACAATACACCATGATGCTGGTGAAGAAAAGGGGTAAAAGAAAAGGAGGATATGCGGAGAGAGGAGCGGAGATGGCAAGTTTATTTGATCTAATATTATAATGTAGATCCTGAGATAGCAACTTGCCCTAGGTATGTTTTGGTAAGGTGCTTCAGTGAGTGGCTAACAAGATTCGTTTTCATCAATGGACGGAATTTTGCAGTGTCCCTGCACAATAGAAAAAAAACCAGTGTAACAGAAGACATTTCTTCATATCTCTATCTTACGAAGGTTAAAGATATGAAAAAATAAAGTAAAATAAAAAAGTTCTTTCACAAAATTCAATATTGATTAATAAATAAAGCATAGGATTTAATAAGATGCAAGAACAGAGCGAGTTAATTTGTAAAGGATATCCAATGGCCCCTATTGTACTAAGTGCTGCCACTTGCCATTAATCAGTTATATGTTAGTATAAAGACATGTTTCACCAAGAAGAGAACTAGGTTATGACAACTGAAGAACAAGAAAACACAAGAAATGCAGCACAAAGGGTTTCATTAAAAATTAAAGGCACCATTTTCAATAGATTCATTGTCAAAGGAAGCCTAGCCATTGTATAGACTTTGAACTAGTTCAACCTACCTCTGCAGATGGCCAGGATACTTCATCCTCAAGCAGTCCAAATCATGCTGTATGCCATGACCCACGAGAAGCCTAGCCACCCCTCCATCCGGAGGTATCCTTCCAACAGACTCTCCATTGTATAGTATTTTCGTGATTTTATCTTGCACTTCATTAAGTGGCATGGCATCTCTCAGATGGTCTTCTGTTAGCCCAGTTACTTCATCTCTGAACATATGAATAAAGGCATGATAAGTAATCCGTTCCTCTTTAAAATAACTTTCTCTTTTAAATCAAAATGGACAGAATGGAGAGAACGAATACCTGTAATTAGTGACAGGAATTTGGGGTTGAACGTATGTATGCAAAATTATATTCTCATCTTCATCAACAAGACACACCCTAGCACAAAGGTCAATTGATCCATCACTTCCACCACCTACCATTTCACAATCCATAGCAACGGCTCTTTGAACTTTACCATTTTGAATTTCATTCATGATTGAACCGGCATTAGATTCTATACAAGGTGTGATCTTTGTTCCCTGCAACAACAACAACATAATATTTAGATTAGATCAAGTTATGACTAAAAACAAGTTATAATGTAATATGAATGTGTTTTGAAAGTCTCTATACATAAGTCACCCAATCATCTAGAATCAATCTCAACCAAAATATACTTATTTTTCCTTGTTTTCATGATTTATTTGACATAGAACTTAGAAATGAGGCATACAAAATAAAAAAAAAATAAAATATTATAGACAATTTAAAAAGCGAAGTGGAGCAAAGCTCTATAAGTGAATAAGGTTCTATATTAGCACTTTAATACTTCCACAAAGCTTACTTACAAGGGGAACAGGAGCTGTTATACGGCACATTTGCTTATGTTCATCAAGGGCAGAGAGGCTATCCAAAACTCTTAAACAATGAGTGCAACCCCGTTCTGCAAAAATCTTTGAACATTTTGTTTTCGCTAGTGGATCTACACAGAACGATAAAGATCAGAAAATGGCACGATAAAAAATTGAAAATTGAAAACAAACATGCAGATTATCTTACTATTGATATGTTCTCGCACCGATTCAAAAGATTTGCAGTGCTTTAGACAAACCCAACATCTAGGTTGATGAACCGAATGGTAGGAGATTTTCATGTGCTCTATAAGATGCAACTTTCTATTAAATTGTCTATAGCATGCAGGGCATTTGTGCCTGTAAGAAAAAATAACGAACAATGAAAAGTTTTTACTTTAATGACACATTTGATACATAAGTAATAACATAAGGAAAAGGCTTAACTATTACATGAGTTTCAAAAGAGTTTCCCTAATATAGAAAAGAATTAGTATAACACTAACTTGAAGATAGAAAGATGAGTAAAAACTCATGTAAAAACAGATACCTATCAAAATAAGGTATATATATTCCTAATCTTTGTTTAAATTAAGCCATGTGAGTGGCTAAAAATTAACTAGTTAAGGTAGTTCATTACTGCCTCATGTACTAAAACATGAGAAAAAATAATCACTCCAACTGATCGTAGCATAAGTGCATTATAAGCACGCCCGATACATCATTGTCATCGAACAAAGACAATACCATCTCAAAGATCTAAATAAAGAGAAAATCTTTCAGAGTGTTGCAAGAACAAAAGGCTACTGAAGCATCAAATTACAGTACCATACTTCAATAAGTTTAAGTCTACTTGCTGATTCACCATGTGTACTTAAACTCAGTGTCAATAAATAGAAGCAGCAACAAAGTATGGGGTTAGGGGAAGAAAAGTTCAAAATTTTCACCATTGCAGCTATAAAAGTAGCACTAAGCAATTAATTAAAAAAATCCAGAAGTGAAGAAAAACAAGTGAATCCCAGAAAATTACGAAGTAAATGAGTTACTTTCTTTAGTACCCCAGAAGTAAAAATCAACTAAAAGCGAAGTGAACCAATGACACATTTTCTTCCACAATTTCCCATATTTTCTAAGCATCCAAACATATATAATAAATATATGAGCGGCAATCAGGGAAGAAAAAAAAAGAGATTTAAGATGTAGAAAGAGAAACGGAACCTTTGGGTTTGGGGTTTCGGAGGATCGGTGTCGGAGGCCATTGGAATCAGCACCGGAGATCAAAAAATAATAAAAGGACGAGAAAATTTCCGGTATATAAAAACGCGAGGGTTGAAGGTTTTGGACCTTTTGGAAAAAGGAACTACGATGCCGTTTTGAAGGCGGCTGCCATAAAAACATAAAACGACGATGCCTTTTGGTAGGGGTTGTAGCCTTGTACACCGTAGGCATATGTATTTACTAATTTTATATTGAGAAAATAACCTCAGTGATTAAAAATACCTTATAATATACGATTTTAACCAATTTTTTTTGGATTTGCCAAAATGTCCAACTAAATCGCAATGCAATCGATAATTCGCAACGCGATCTCCGGTATCGTAAATCAGTTTCTAGATTCGCAACGCGATTCTGACTATCGCATTGCGATTTCCCAAATTCGCGTTACGATTTTCCTAATTCGCCATGCGAATACTTAAATCGCAACGCGATTACGTAAATCGCAATGCGAATTAGGAAAATCGCAATGCGAATATTACGTATTCGCAATGCGAATATTACGTATTCGCAATGCGATTACGTATTCGCATTGCGATTTTCTTAATTTGCATTGCGATTTTCTTAATTCGCATTGCGATTTACGTATTCAAGTTGCGATTTCCCTAATTCGCAATGCGAATACGTAAATCGCAACGCGATTACGTAAATCGCAATGCGAATCTGACTATCGCAATGCGATTTACATGGCGTCATTCGTATTAACGCGTATTTTTTTCAAATTCCAAACACGAATTTCTTAATATATCGGAAACTGAACCGTCCACAGTAATCGCAACTCATAACCTCAAACCTAAAATCACAACACTCAGTCTCATCTCCATCTCTCACTCTCTACGGCGAAATCCGTCCCCATCTCCGAAGATTTCCGTCCCCATCGCCGGCGAAATCCCTCACAACCATTCACGGTCAGAAATCCCTCACAATCATTCAGAAATGGAAAATCAACCTCCGAGGGTTAGTTTTTTTAATTATTTTTATTTTGAAATTTCTGCATTATTTTAGGTTTTTCATATTGAAATTGATGATAAGTTTACTGGTAATTTCAATAATAGATTACCATTTCACTTAGATTTCTTATTAAATTCATTCGATTGCTGCCAATACTGCTAAACTGTTTAGTCTTTAACCCTGTGAAGTTAGTATTTGTCTTTGTTTTGTCTTTTGGTTGAAGTAATGCAGAAGAAGAATAGTTTCGAGAATGAAAATCGCAACGCGGAAATAACTATCGCAACGCGAAACCAAAATCGCATTGCGATTTTCATTTCGCGTTGCGATTCTCTCGTTGCGATTTTCATTTCATGTTGCGATTCTCTCGTTGCGATAGTCATTTCGCGTTGCGATTCTCTCGTTGCGATAGTCATTTCCGCGTTGCGATTTTCATTCTCTCATTGCGATTTTCATTTAACCAAAAGACAAAACAGTGTTGCAAATTTTAGTTTCAAGAATAAACTACTATTTATGTTTATTGTTTTTGGTATATCTTCACAGTGTAGTTTTTGGTATATCTAACTTGGTATGTTTATTGTTTTTGTAGAAATTTTTTTCGGCTTCATTGACATTAAGGAATAAAGTTAGCCTAGCCACTACAATTGCTTCGAAGCTTTCACCTGCACAAAGAAAATTGTTTGAGGAAACCTGCTTCGGGCCATGGCTGAGAGTACATCATCCGGGTGGAGATGCTAATTTGACCCATTTGTGGCTTCAGACCATGACTAGCGATCTACCCGACAGTATACAACGTGGTGAGGAAGAGATATGATTTCATTTTCTACCGGCGTATACTTGTTTTGGGCGGAAGGAGTTCTGCTTAATCACTGGTCTACGATTCGGACACGATGATATAGGCCGGTACACTCGTCATATCACCCGCCCATCATGGTTATCCAGGGTTTTTCCTGATGAGTCAATAGAGAAGCCGAACTTACACGTCGACGACCTGAAGAAATTGTTTAATAAGAAAGATGGTTTTACTCGGATGAATGACGTCGATGTTGTCCGAGTATGCCTTCTACTACTTTTGTATATCGGCTTTTTAGGCAGAGAGGCCACACAACCTATTCCTCAGGAGCTAATATTATTGGTAGAGGACCTAAATGCATGGAATCTGTTTCCGTGGGGTTCGTATATATGGAAAGCTACCTGGACTAAGTTGTCGTCTGCCTTTGATGACCGCAAAAGTTTGCGTGGCGATGGGTCGAAATACACTTTGTCAGGCTTTGTTTGGGCCTTTAAGATAAGAATTTCTATATAATGTTTTCAAAATTATAATTAATTATTTAACAATTACTAATGTTTGTTATTATATTGTTTGTAGATTTGGATATTCGAGGCTTTCCCCAGCATGCAGACATATGCATTAAAAACTTCAAATGATATTCCTAGGGCTATTTCATGGAAGAGGAAACATTTGTTGGATTGGGAAGACTTAATACCATATGCGATAATAAATAATGTAAGTTAACACAAATACTATCATATATAAACAAGTTATTAATAGTAGACGTTTAACTTTGTTTGAGTTTTTATATTTTTAGGAGGCCAACACTCCATTAATGAGACTGACACCCACGGAGGATGAGCTTGCCACTGATTGGTGGCAAGCTAGTCAGCGTTTTCTTGATGGCACGAATGATGAGCAGCCTCCACTTCCTCCACTTCGAGATCCATCACCTCACCCAGAGCCATCACCTGATCGACCCGACTATACACCTCTAAAACGAGATCCATCACCTATCCCGTCACATCATCGAGCCTCTTCTCCACCATCACCTCATGATAGGCGACCGGCAAAGATGCCACGACTTCTATCTCCCTGTTCTCCACCTCCACCTCCACGGGATGAGTCAAGGGAGTTACGTGATGAAGTCAATGCCTTGCGTGAGGAGATCGGTACTCTACGCGATAACGATGGTGCATGGCGTGTGGAGGTGTCTACTTTACGTGGTGAGGTTGCCGCTCTACGTGAGATGGTAGTATCGTTGCAGAATGAGGTTCATACTCTACGCAACGAGGTAAGTTTAAGATTTTCCATATTTAACTTGATGATAAATTTACTCGTAATTTCACTTAGATTAACCATTTCACTTAGATTGCTTAGTAAATTTATTCGGTTGCTGCCAATATTGCTAAATTGTTTATTAACACTGTGAAGTTAGTATTTGTCTTTTGTTTTGTCTTTTGGTTGAAGTAAATTTATTCGGTTGCTGCCAATTCTGCTAAACTGTGTATTCTTTAACACTGTGAAGTTAGTATTTGTCTTTGTTTTGTCTTTTGGTTGAAAGTAAATTTGTTCGGTTGCTGCCAATTCTGCTAAACTGTGTATTCTTTAACACTGTGAAGTTAGTATTTGTCTTTGTGTTTGTCTTTTGGTTGAAAGTAAATTTGTTCGTTTGCTACCAATTCTGCTAAACTGTGTATTCTTTAATACTCTGAAATTAGTATTTGTCTTTGTTTTGTCTTTTGGTTGAAGTAATGCAATCCATTCAAGTTTCAATTTGCAGAAGAAGAAGAAATAGTTTATTCTTGAAACTATATTTTAGTAACACTGTTTTGTCTTTTGGTTGAAATGAAAATCGCAACGAGAGAATCGCAACAACAAAATCGCAACGCGAAACCAAAAATCGCAACGCGAAACTATAATCGCGTTGCGATTTTAATTTCGCATTGCGATTCTCTCGTTGCGATTTTTATTTCGCGTTGCGATTTTCATTCTCTCGTTGCGATTTTCATTTCACGTTGCGATAGTCATTTTTTACGTTGCGATTTTAAGTTCCAGAAACTATTCTTCTTATGCAAATTGAAACTTGAATGAATTGCATTACTTCAACCAATAGACAAAGACAAATACTAAGTTGACAATGTTGCAAGTTTGAAACATATTTGCCTTTGTTATCTGATGCATTTTGTGAACTATGATAGAATAATGACTTGGGTGAATTCAATGCAAGTTTGAAACATATTTGTCTTTGTTTTCACTGTTTAAATATCATGTCTGTTTATTTACTGATTTTTGTATTTAATTATTTAGCGGCCCGATAAGGTGGATGCTTTACGTCGGGTTTTTCTTGCACGACAGAGTTCACGCATCAGACGGCGTGCACGTGCTATTAAGTCTCCGTACACCCCAATAGTGCGAAGACACAGCAAGAAGAAGCCCGACTCGCCTGTCATCCCTCAAGAGTCCACTCCTATCGTTGAAGAGGCCCCTATCATTCCTCGAGAGTCCCCTCCCACCGTTCAAAAGGCCACTGTCATCGTTGAAGAGGTCCCTCCCACCATTCAAGAGCCCGATTCACATGGCGTCATATGTAAGATTCTTGAGAAACCCTCTGACGTGCCGGACATGATGGATGAGAGTTGGCTCTCATATGAGTTACCGGCCAGTACCATACCGGTATCTGAAGTGGAGAGAAGACAACTACCAGACACAATTCTGGATAACACCCTTTGGGCTAAGACCGCAGTTGATTTTTATCTACATGAGTGGAGCCAGGGGTGTTTCACTGACATATGCAAGCTCAACGATGATATCTATTTGTTGCTTGATCGGTCTTGGTGGGGCGTATTATTAGGGGTCGAAGACAATGGCTATTTCGATGGATGGGTAAGTCTTATATTTTTCTTATATTTCAATTTGATTATTTTTTTTAAATTTATGTAAGTTACTAATATATGTCTTTTTTTTGTAAAACAACATAACGATGCGTGGGTGTCACGTCTTCTAATAATTAGGAAACTTAAGGAAAATAAAAGAAATACACGATATACAATTATGCCGACGTCTTTTAACGCCATTCACTTGAAGAATCAACGAGATGAATCATTTGCCTTGGGCAATGGACAAGCTAAACTTTATCCTGCATGGTGGGAGGTCGATAAGGTTAGTATTTATTTTAGATTCAGTTTAAATGTATTCATAAATAAGTGCGCAAATGAATGAATTATTACTTATGATTGTAGGTGTTTATCCCTGTTTTGGAACGTAAACATTGGCTTCTCGTTGAGCTTCAGCTCCCATCCCTTAAGGCAATAGTATATGACAGCATGATAAATTACAA